TATTTAAAATAAGAAACATATTTAGTAATATTTAATACACTATTTAATAGAAAACAATATTTTAAATATAAATTGCCAAAATTGTAAACAACCCAAATTGAATCTTAAACAATGAATGGATAAAACAAACTAGTACAAGCACACAACAGGATAATAATTGGCAGTATAAAGGAATAAAATATTAATTCATTCAACAATGTAGATGAATCTTAAATGTATTTTGTCAAGTCAAAAAAGCCAGACCCAAAATACTGCATATTGTGATTATATTGTGTCTGGAAAAAGCAAAACAATAGGGATGGAAAATAGATCAGTCGTTGCCAAAGGATAGAGAATACAAGTAGGAGTTGACAATAAAAGACCAACATAGGAGAAATTTGAAAGTGGAGAAATCTGTTTTACATAGAACTGTGGTGGTGGATACATATCTCCATGTGTTTGCTAAAATCCATAGAACTGTAGATCATAAGAGTAATTTTTCTCACATAGTTTTTACAATTTTACTGCATATAAATTTTAAAATATATCCAAAACATGGAGGAAAGGTAAAATGCAGATCGGAATAAATGACTCTAACTGTATTACAAGCATATCACATAACCACACTGGAGGGGGTAGGAAAAATGAAGCCAGTCTAAGTGACTTTGGAAAACTGGATACTGCAAGGTTAAAGTCAAAAAGAACCATACACGACACTGTACTCTAGTTGGTAAAGTGGTTCTTCACTGGGGTATGAGTTAGGAATTCTGAAAATATAACCTATTTCTTGAAAAACATCAATCATTTTATTTCTACAAAACATTAAAAGGTAAATGTAATTTCATACCTTGCGTCTCATTTGGATTGACCTACCTTCCACTGTGGTCCAACTTTGATATGGATGGTTGTCTTTTTATCCCAAAGGATAGTGATATCTTTCTCTGGAAAGTATACTACCATGTAGTATCCTGCCATCCAAAGCTGGTATGTAGTTGTGTTTTCCAGAAAAAAGCCTGATAATTTCTTTTAAAAAATAATTTAAAAAATAATAAAGAAAAAAAAGTGAATTCCTTGTTCTCTAATCAAAATATAAACAGTAAATTCCTACCATCCACCATTAAGTATCTAGGTACTAGTATTTTCACTTAGTCCTGTCTTTCTGAACTCTGTAATAAAAGACAAAACAAATGCAGAAAACAGGAAATACATAACATAGGTAATGAGACCCAAACTGGTAGATGGGCTCAACATAGATAAATGAGAAAAAGGAAAAGGTATTTCAGTTATAGAAAAGAGCATAAACAAGAGCAGGGACATAGAATAAATTAAGGGGATATATCTGCTGACTCAGAAATTCTGCATTTATAATGAATAAATACGACTGAGTACTAAAAACGTATGACTTTACCTACCTACACTCATACATAATCAGAAAACAAAAGCACAAAGTGTGTGTGTGTGTGTGACACACACACACACACACACACAAACACAGAGGGTGCCACAAAAATGTATACACATTTTCAGAAAGGAAAATACTGCATTAAAATTGTAATACACAATATATACCAATAACCACAGATGAATACAAGTCATATTTGACTTCTGCAATTATAAGAGGTGCTCAAAGTGGTTACCATCAGCGTAATTCTAATACAGTTTTTCATTTCTTAAAATGTGTATACATTTTTGTGGCACACTCTGTATATATACTATATATGAGAAAGCGAAGATGAACTTCCATCAGAGGGACTGCGGAAGGCTACTTGAAAGGGATGGGATATGAACTGTTCTGTAAGAGGCCATACATAGGAAGGTACAAAGGGTTGGAAATGAGGATGGGAAAGAAATCATTCCAAGCAAAAGGAACCACCTGAATAGAGGCTTAGGGGCAGGAAAACTCAAGATTTTGTCAGGATTAAGGAGAGCACTATATAGGACTAGAGCATGAATTCCATGACAAGTGTAGTCTGAGACCATTTGCAACCATGTTACCCACACAGGCAAGGGCTGTTGTTCCAGGTACAAAATGTACTTAATAAAGTTGTTTGAATAGGAACATGACTGACCATGGTTGCATATTAAAAGAAAATCATTTATGTGCTAGAAAGGATAACAGTAGAAAGCAACCAGAGATGGAACTCACTGGGAAAATTTATTGTTTTTAGCCTAAAATGAGAATATGCAATAATCTTTATGAGCAGGGGATATTCCTTATAAAAGATCAGATTGACTATGACACTGACATTAACTCATATAATAACTTCAAAATTGTGTGGTTAAATCAAATTAAGAAAATAAATATATCCAGAAGCAAAATTAAAATTGTGAAGGAGGTATGGAATCCTTTGGCTATTTTTCTCCTCCTAAGTAATAACAAAAGCATAATTTAGAAATATTATATGTAGTGGACACTTTCCTAAATATTCCATAGGACAAATTATATAAATTTAGTCATATCCATAAAAATTTTTCAGTCTCGTTGCCAAGGTCATACTTACAAATGTTCAGTGTGTCGTATATAACAGTATATAGCGTGTAACCTACATATTGTTAATGGGCCCTACCTAACCTAAGTTCCTTCTCCTCCCAAGTGCCAAACTGGAGTGAGTTATGGGGCAAGGCCCTGGGTGCCTGTGAAGGTCTGCCCTCAACCTGGGAGTATCCTTGTGACCCAGCAAGTGAGGCATTAAATAATAAAGAAAAAATACCATGACAGTTCATGGGAGACTGTAAAATGAAGGAAAAAATTTTCCTGTTTTGAACAAGAGTTCCGCATTTTCACTTTTCACTTAGGCCCATAAAATGTGTAGCCTGCCCTGCCCTCAAGTCACTCTCTGACATAAAACTTATTTCTATTGTTTTGATTACACTTTTCAATACCTTCCTATTATCTGACTTGCCTTTGGCTTTATTATCTGTCTTCCCCTGCACTTGAATGTTAGCTCCTTGAAAGATGTACTTTCTCAAGTTTATGGTGGTATCCTCAGTTTCTAGATCAAGGCTTGCCTCATACATTTTTTAATACCTTCCTGCACTGGCCTGTTCACAGGTCTCACCTTCCAGCCTGATCAGCAACAATTAAAACAGGTTAAGTAGGATATTTGTGGCTTACAGCTTCTTTTCGATCCATGAAATATCCTTTCATGTATTTTCCTATTAAAGGTCCTTCAGACTTGTTGACATATCATTAGAACATAAAATGAATTTTTGGATAAGGTTTACTATTAGACTTCATTCAGGTTGGCTTTGCATCAATTACCCTGATATGAAAGCATATCTTTTCTATTTGTCTGTAAAGATCAAATCCTTCATTTTTATTAGACAGGGAAGTTTACTACAAGACAAATAATCCTTTTTAATCAAAAGGAGTTGCTGTCCTCCTTTCATTTCAGATTAAGTAAGGATGCTTCCCTTTAGAAGAATGAGGTATTACAATTTGCTCAAAATAGAGAACTCCAATTTAGATTAGAATTGCAGCAATTTACACAAACTCTAATGATGTTACAATGACACACTGTAAATGTGGAGAATTAAAACATTTAAAGAACAGCTTAAATAAATTCATAAAACGTTTATATCTTACACATTTAGTAAAATTAGAATTGTGCATTTATTGAAAAAAATGAGAGGTTTATTTTCTTCCGTTGGATGAGCAAGCCATCGGTCATAAAATAAATGTCCTTATTTTCACTTTTGATGTCTAAAAACAAATATTAGTGGGAAATTTGCTATGGTCAAATTATTTTTATGACTTTCCCTCATTACCTCTATGAAGCATATTCATCGACACCTGCAGAACAGGTGAAAATTGGACTTGAAATTTTGTCAGAGCTGTAATTACCACCTCAAAAACATGTTAAACTGTCTTTTTAAGAGCATTTACTATTTTCTCTTCATTTTTTTTAACACATCCTTATCCTTAGATAGAACCTGCCCCTACAAATGAATATCCAGCTGATGGTTATACCAAACTGCAGTAATTACTTCAAAAAGATGTCAACATGACTACTGGAACTCTGTTTTGTCCAAAGTCTTGATTGCTGCCTAGTTAGTCTCAATGTTTCTGATATTTAAGCTATGTTCTCAGGGCCGTGGTTCTCAAACTTATGTGTGCAAAAGAATTTGGGGTACCATTAAAAATACCCACTTTCATTCTCAACCTCAACCATTCTAATTATTGAGGTTGGGCCCAAGAACGAGCTTTTATAACAAATATTGCAGATGATTTTAATGCAAAAATTTTGCAGACCACACTTTGAGGAACAGTGTTCTAAAATCTCACTTTTTAAAGGCCATATGTCGGGCCGGCCGAGTGGTGCGATGGTTAAGAACTGCCTTGGGATGCCAGAGGGCCCCGGTTTGGATCCCACATATGAGGGCCAGTGACACGGTCCTCCACAGCTAAGATGTTGAACAACAGCTCAACCTG